AAAAAGTTACATGGAAAGTAAAAGYCCTCGGCCTGATCTACAATCATGTTGGAAAAAAAATCAGGCAAAAAAAAAAAAAAAATCATGAAGGAAATTTCAGATATTCCCATGCCCTCAGGCTTCAGAAACATCCATCCCCTAACTGGAAGGATATGGAAATACCCAGCTATAAACAAAGCCAGCACCCAGGTTACAGTGCAGCTATCCAAATATGTCTGTATGCCGCAAACCGAATAGGCAAAAGACTCTGTTATCTTTAAAACAGTTGCATTTGTTGGGTTGTTTGCATAGCATTTTCACAATCAATACGCCGAGCATTCAGCACCATGTCCTCATAACCCAAGCATCAAATTCCTCTGGCTGTTCAGCAGTTAGTTACCACAAGAGCAGGGTTTAAAAACTGGGTGCAGGGAATTCGATCCTAGTTAGACCAGTAGGTCTTTTGGTTTAGTCTTGTCTATATTACATTATGTTATTATTATGTTATTATGTTATATTATGTTATGTTATAATGTGTCGGTGTCCCCAGAGGCCCTAATGATCAGACTAAAGTCCCCTTGTGCTGGGAGCTGCACAAACCCAGCAAGGAAGGTGCTGTCTGCACTCACAGCTTCATGCAGTACAGTTAATAATAATAATAATAATAATAATAATAACACACCTATCTGTTAATGGTTTGGTTTTGCAACCCGGATCACTTTATTTACTTCCTTCATAACAAACCACAGCAAAGATTCGCTATAAGCCAAAAAAAAAGCAGTACCCCCAGCTAAGTAGGCTGGTAACATTTGCCATATTTAACGATGCACAAACCAGTCAGGTTTCTATATTAATGTTTACTCCATTGGATGGAAATTACTTCGCTAAGCGCTCCTGACAACTTTCATTAGAATTTCTATTAGTTCAAATTTAAAGCGCCATTTAAAGGTTACTGCAGCAAGAAGTAAAATAAAACAAAATTGTTTAACGCCTGAAGTAAACGTTTAATTGTCTCAGTTACCGCATGAAGAACGGTAAGTAAATAAAAGCAACGCGGGGCGTTTATTCCGGATTAGCAGATGCGGGACGCTGGGGCCGCGCTGCCCTGCGTGTCGGTCGGCGCGTGGGTGCCGTGGGGCGTCCCCTCCTGCCCGCAGCGCGGCGGGCCGCAGCTCCGCGGGCCGCGCCGGGCACGCGGCGGTTGCGGCCGTTGCGGCGGTTGCGGCCGTTGCGGCGGGCCAGGCGGCCGCGCCGGGCGGGCCCGGGGATTTCCCCTCGCGGCGCGCGCGGCCCCGTGAGGTGACAGGTCCCGAGCGGGGGGAGGCGGCGCCCCCCGCGCCGCTGCTCTTACATAACGGCGCCCACCCGCGTTACATAATCGCGCTGCCCGCGCGGCCGCGGGGAGCGGGCGGCGGGGGAAGCGGGGGAGGCGGGAGGACCCGGCGGCGGCCCCGGCGGCCGAGCCCCCCTCGCTCGCTCGCTCTCGGCCCCTTCCTGCGGCGGCACCACGTCATGGAACATTCCCGGAACGGGCCAACGTCCCACCCACTTCAGGGAACGGTCGCCCAGGCGCGGCGCGACGCGCACGCACCGGCGGGTCCCCCCTGCGCGGCGCGGCCCCGC